GATCTTTCGATATATTTTGTTCTAAGATCTCTCTTAATTTGTTCTGTATAATGTTTAGAAGTATTTTTGAAGCGTGAAAAAGGAGCGCTATAGTTTCCACATTATGTTGCATTTTTTCTTCGAAACTGTTATAGTTCTACTTTTGATAAAACCCAGTGGTGACTTTCACCGTTATAGCTATCTTTAATGATTTTAAACAATTGATATTTTGTCTTTTCTCTTATATTTTTCAGTAGTTCAGACGGGATATCATAAATTCTTGTTGCTTTTTTGTCACTCAGTTCTGAACCTGAATAAATGTCTGTGAGAATAACTCGTCTTACCACAAACCGAACTAAGATAACCAGAAATATCTCCGTAAACAAGCTAGACTTTAACTCTAAATAAGTCGTTTTGACAGCAAGCCAGACAAATATTGCTACATATCCTTTGTACACTCTGAGCTTGCAGAGAAACATTTCTTTGAAGCAGAAAGGGCCCGTGTGAATTCCTACGTGCTCGAACACGCGATACTATTGAACGTGAAAATTCTTTAGGTCAGCAGAAAGACTTCTGTTGGGCACGTCTGTAATAATTTTAAGTAATACCCAAGCATGTACTCGTAATTCGTGTTGTGAATTATCCGAGGAGTCATCAATAATTTCTACTGTCGAGGTTTGTCAAATCTGTCGATTAATGTCGCCAGGCTAGTTCATAGATGTTCTTGGACACAACAATGTTGCGAATACTGTTAAGTACCTTTTAGGCATCCCAACAAATCATAAATCATTCTTCTCGTTCCAACTATATATTTGACCACACTATGGTAAATCCACCACGTTTATACACGCGTTACGATACAGCAAAATGTCGCGGGACAACTTCTGACGGCGCCTATACTCTAATCAACTAGAGTTTAGTTACTAGACCATATATTAGTCACAACTAATAGGAAAGCCGACAATTATCACCAATCAACAAACAGCTTTCTCACTTCTATGTGTACACAAGTTATTTTTGTTTTGGAAGTTAAAAGCGGCCACACATAATTTATAATAACTATCAGCCCATTTATACAATATTGATTTTATTGGAATCTTTTTTTTTTTTACCGATATTATAAAAAATAATAGGTATTTTAATAAAAACATGGTACATTACTATAGATTATTTTTTAGCTTCGATTACTATGATGTGTTTTTTTTATTTTTTTTTTTATTTTTTTTTTTGTGTCTGTGAACGCTCAATCTCAGCTCTCGCTGGACCGATTTTGATGAACAATATGTCAAAAGATCACAAATCGTATCTAGTCGAAGACATTACCCTCAAAAATTGAAAAAAATTCCCTCGATCCCCGTAAACGAGGGAAATCCCCCAAAAAATTTCATATTTAAAAATCGCTAATTTTCGATATTTTTTCAATTTTTTTTACTTAAAAGTGCCATAACTTTTTTAAAAATGATCGAATCAATATAATTTTTTTTTTTATAGATACCTTA